TATTTATTTATTTGAGAGAGAGAATGAGATAGAGAGAGAGCATGAGAGGGGGGAGGGTCAGAGAGAGAAGCAGACTCCCTGCTGAGCAGGGAGCCCGAAGTGGGACTCGATCCCGGGACTCCAGGATCATGACCTGAGCCGAAGGCAGTCGCTTAACCAACTGAGCCACCCAGGCACCCTTCATCTGTTTTTCTTAATCAGTCTTGCTGGCAGTTTATCATTTTTACTAGTTGTTTTGTTTCAAGTAAGCTCTACGCCCAAAATGCGGCTTGTACTCACGATCCCGAGATCAAGAGTCACATGCTCTACCCACTGAGCCAGCCAGGCACTCCTGTTTTGCATTGGGTTTTGTTTTGTTTTGTTTTTTGTTTGTTTGTTTACCAGAGTACAAATTTTGGCTTTGTTGAATTTTTTTCCAGTTGTATATTTGTTTTCTGTTGCATAAACTTTTGCTCATATCTTTATTCTGTCCTTCCTTCTTGGGTCAGCAAACTGTGGCCTATGGGCCAAATCTGACCAACAGCCTGTTTTTTTACAGCCCACCAACTAAGAATGGTTTTTACACTTTTAAGGGGTTGTAAAAAAAAAAAAAAAAAAATACCATTTGGTTCTTTCCAGAAAAAGTTTCCTGACTCCTGTTGTACGTCCTTGGAGGTAATTTGCATATTTCCCTAAATTCTTTTAATGGATGGGTGGCTTATTGAATTTCTGCCTTTCTTTTTTAACTAACGTACATGTTTAAGGCTACAGATTTTCTGTAAACATTGTCTTAGCCACATCCCACACATTTTGAGATGTCATATTTTCATTTTCATTCAATTCAAAATATTTTCTAGTTTTCATTGTGGTCTCTTCTTTGCCCCATACATTATTTACAACTGCATTTCTTAATTTCCAAACCTGAGAATTTTCTAGTGATTTTTCTCATTGATTATATTTTGGTTAGAGAACATCCTCTAGTTCAGTCCTTAGAAATTTGAGATTTCTTTGCAGCTCAATACACAGGTATTTTTGTGAATAATCTGAATATACTTGAAAAGTATGCATACTCTGAAATTGCTCAGTGAGGTATTCTATGCAGGTCACTCAGGTCAAGTTCTTCAGTGATCATGTCATTCATCCCTCCTCTATCTGCACTGTTTTTGTTTCCTTTATTGTAGCAGTTACCAAGAGGTATGTTCAAGTCTACCCCTATGATTGAAGAGTGAGTGTCTCTTTCTCCTTTATAATTCTGTCAGATTTTTCTGTGTATCATTAAAAGCTATGTTATTAGTTACATACGTCTTAGGATTTTATATTTTCCTAGTGAATTGAAACTTTTATCAATTTGTCATGACTCTCTAGTAATGTTTTTGTCTTAAAGTCTATTTTATATGATATTAACATAGCTATGCCTGTATTAAGTACTAAATACTACTAATAAATACTAACCAACAGGTTAGTATTGGCATGGTACGTATTTTCTCACTGTTTGGCTTTCATCTTTTCCATGACTAAATTTTAGATACGTTTTTTATAAAAAACATACAGCTATTTTTTGTATTGTTATTTAAATTTTTCATCTAGTCTGACAGTCTTTCTCTTTTAACTGGAAAGGTTAACCTATTTACATTAATTAGATTCATTTTTACCATTTTATTTTGTGGTTTCTGTTTTTCCTGTTTGTACAAAATTTCTTTTTTTTTTTTTTT